CCCTGGAAAGTTAGTGACTCACTTCTCTTGAGCAAAATAATGTGATCACTGGCCTCTTGCTAATAGTCACGCGAGTGAGCCATCTCAGAAGCAGAACTTCGAGCCGGCGCCGTGGCTCAATAGGCTAATCCTCCACCTTGCGGCGCCGGCACACCGGGTTCTAGTCCCGGTTGGGGCGCCGGATTCTGTCCCGGTTGCCCCTCTTCCAGGCCAGCTCTCTGCTATGGCCAGGGAGTGCAGTGGAGGATGGCCCAGGTGCTTGGGCCCTGCACCCCATGGGAGACCAGGAAAAGCACCTGGCTCCTGGCTCCTGCCAGGATCAGCGCGGTGCGCCGGCTGCAGCGGCGGCCATTGGAGGGTGAACCAGCGGCAAAGGAAGACCTTTCTCTCTCTCTGTCTCTCTCTCTCACTGTCCACTCTGCCTGTCAAAAAAAAAAAAAAAAAAAAAAAAAAAAAAAAAAAAAAAGAAGCAGAACTTCTAGCCACACAGTTAAATCTTCAGATAACTTCAGTCCTTGCCCATGTCCTGACTTCAAAAACATGTGAGATCCTGAGCTAGAATTACTCAACCAAGTCACTCTGGAATTTCTGACACACAGAAACTGAGATAATAAATATTGGTTAATTGAGCTCTTGAGTTTTAGGGTCAGTCTGGAGTAACTTGCTAAATATAGTAAATATGTATTTACCAATGATTATGCAAATTGCTGTGGTGTACCAAAAATGAGATTCAGGTTGTCCATTATACTGAGTATTCTTTCTCTAATGTGTCCAAACTATATGTAGAGTACTAAAGGTCATCTAATGATTCAGGTTGTGCTGTCCTAACATTTATTTCTCTTGAGAAATCAAAGGATGCTTATATGTTCTTTGTGTAGAATAAAACATGGGATGAACCATAAATTTTGTGTTAACAAAAGGGGCTCTTTCCCCTTCACATATCCCTCTTTCCTCCAATCTATATTTCATTTTTTTATTTTTTGACAGACAGAGTGGACAGTGAGAGAGAGACAGAGAGAAAGGTCTTCCTTTGCTGTTGGTTCACCTTCCAATGGCCACCACGGCCGGCGCGCTGCGGCCGGCGCACCGCGCTGATCCGAAGGCAGGAGCCAGGTGCTTCTCCTGGTCTCCCATGGGGTGCAGGGCCCAAGGACCTGGGCCATCCTCCACTGCACTCCCGGGCCATAGTAGAGAGCTGGCCTGGAAGAGGGGCAACCGGGACAGAATCTGGCGCCCTGACCACGACTAGAACCCAGTGTGCTGGCGTCGCGAGGCGGAGGATTAGCCTGTTGAGCCGCGGCGCCGGCCCCAATCTATATTTCATTTTCCAAGGCAGGCACAGCTGCTATTTGCCAAAATGTCCATGAGTCTTTCCTCTCTCTAATATCCTAACAAGATCTTAAATAAAACAAATAGTCTAATGAAAACAAATCCTCAAACCACTCACCAAACAGAAGGAGGAAAGGACTGTGGGTGGTTAGTAGTAGCTTCCTTCTGTTACTGGTTTACAGCATTTCTACTAACTTACTAATTCATCACAGAAGCTAGGTCAACAGGAGTGTTATTTCTAGAAATAGATTATTTTTTCTGAGGACTAATAATATTAAAGTATATTACAAGTAGGGAAAAAACTCATTACCTTAACCATTTTCTACAGTGCTTTCTAGTTCTCATGCATGTGGGTGTATACTTTCACAAAATTCCAACCAATAGAATATGCTGTTTTCATTTTGGAAAAAAACTAATAACATTCTTTAGAAAAGGATTTCATTTGCATTAGCTAAAAGTGAATTTAATTATAATTCAGTAAATTTCATTGCAAAAACCAGATTCACTGCTTGATTGGCCAGTATATCATCCAAATTAGGCCCATTTTTTTTATGCTGAATATACAACTAGCTCTCAACATAATGAATCTAAATTATCCATTCTTTTAGAATATATTTTCTCTTCTCTTTAACCTATACATTAGTGTTCACTGGCAATTTTGCTAGAAATATATAAAAAAGAGAAAGCTCAAATATAAGAAAATTAATTTTTATTTTTACTAAATAGTTACTGTCTAGGATATTAAGTTAATCAGCTACTGAGAATATTAAAAATGTGGTCATCACATAAACTTTTCCTATATTCATAAAAATAATTAGGAAAACTCACTAAATTTTTAAATTTATTAGTCAGAGCTTTATTCATTATTTGGGGTTTTTCTTTGTATTGTCTTTCTACAAATATAGTTATAATTGATGCAACATTATCAATTCTTCAAAAATAAGCTATTTTAACATTATTTCTGCTACTTAATTTCAGCCCAGGTATACACATACCTACTTTATACATAAAATACACATAAAATTAAAACATTTTAAAAAAGGATTTTGAAAAATAAACTCTAAAATTTACAAATTATTAACTTAAATTTAAAATAAAATATTAATATATATTAGAGCTTTTTACATTATCTCTTTCATCTTAACCAAGGTTGTTTTCAAAGATACCTTCAATATAATTTGTACTGGAGACAGTCCATTATCTTTAAATAAAATCTATAAATGTAATATAAGAACTTTATATGAATTTTGATTATTAAAATTAATGGTGGCCGGCGCCGCAGCTCACTAGGCTAATCCTCCGCCTAGCGGCGCCGGCACACTGGGTTCTAGTCCCGGTTGGGGCGCCGGATTCTGTCCCGGTTGCCCCTCTTCCAGGCCAGCCCTCTGCTGTGGCCAGGGAGTGCAGTGGAGGATGGCCCAAGTGCTTGGGCCCTGCACCCTATGGGAGACCAGGAAAAGCACCTGGCTCCTGGCTCCTGGCTCCTGCCATCGGATCAGCATGGTGCGCCGGCCGCACCGCGCTGGCCGCGGCGGCCATTGGAGGGTGAACCAACGGCAAAGGAAGACCTTTCTCTCTGTCTCTCTCTCTCACTGTCCACTCTGCCTGTCCAAAAAAAAAAAAAAATTAATGGTAAATAATAGCATTTAAAGTCCTTGACAGGGGCCAATGCTATGGCATAGCAGGTTAAGCTGATGCCTGCTGCAATGGCATCCCATATCAGCGCCAGTTCAAGTCCCAGCTGCTCCACTTCCTATCCAGCTCCCTGCTAACCTGCCTGGGAAAGTAGTAGAAAATGGCCCAATTCCTTGGTCCCCTGAACTCACATGGGAGATCCAGATAAAGCTCCTGGCTCCTGGTTTTGGTTTGGCCCAGCTCTGGCCATTGTGGTCATTTGTGGGGTGAACCAAAGGATAGAAGACTTTTCTCTCTCTACTTCTGCCTCTCTCCTTCTCTGTAACTCTGCCTTTCGTATAAATAAGTAAATCTTTAATAAATATATAAATAAAGTCCTTGACAGAGGAAAACTGGTTATATTGTCTACTTATGTACTAAATTTGTAAGTCAGCATTCATAGTAGTTCAGTGATTTTATAATGTCCTATAATGTCTAATAACAAAACTGTACTGCAAATATCACAATCATTGTTTCTGAATCTACTTTTCTGCAACATAAACCTAAACATATTCCAGTGCTATGATTTCTTGTATTTGCTTATCAGCATTTTAGATAAATGGAAAGTAGAACTGGAGTGAAGAAAACAGAATGATTAAAATGAATAAGGAGTTCAAATTTAAAAATATAAATTGAGGAATACTATCAAGAACTTTTCATTCTAAAATTTTTACATATAGAAACAGCTCTGAAAAATGGGATTCTCAGATTTGTGTGAAATAGTAACAAGTTAAGACAGTCTTAGTTGTGGAATTCAGTAAGTGACAAGCAAAGCTAAAAAAAATCTCCCATTTAGAAGGAAAGATAGAGTACTCGACTAAATTGGTCTTGTTGATATTATGAGTTCTTATTTCTTCTTATTTTATTCAAAAGATGTATAATCCCACTAAAATTCAACATATCTCTTTTAAAAACTTTTAAATCTAGGAAATTTCAGTGACTTAGGAAAACATGGAGAACAACCTAGTGAACATCTATACATCCAGAAATCAGGTTCCTAATTTAACAAGTGTTTTAACATTTTGCCATATTTGTTTTAGATTATCTTTATTTACACGTTTGTATAGAAAATTGGTCTTCTTCATTCTCTTTCAAGATATCATAGTCTCCTCTCTCCCCAACTTTGGAGGTGATCAGTTTCTAAAGATATGCATGCTTCTGGAGGCTAGTGCTGTGGTATAGTAGGCTAAGCCTCTACCTGTGGCGCCCGGTGTCCCAGCTGCCTCTCTTCCAATCCAGCTTTCTGTTTATGGCCTGGGAAAGCAGTGGAAGACAGCCTAAGTGCTTGGGCCCCTGTACCCACGTGGGAGACCTGGAAGAAGCTCCTGGCTCCTGGCTTCGGATTGGTGCAGCTCCGGCCGTTGCAGCCACCTCAGGAGTGAACCAGCACATAGAAGACCTCTCTCTCTGTCTCTACCTCTCTCTATAACTCTGTCTTTCAAATAATTAAAATAAATCTTAAAAAGAAGTATCACCCATCAGCATTTGAATTCTACTTTTTTGCAGAATTCGTGTTAGGATTGAGAAGAATCTTGCCTACACTCACCAAAATTGTGACACAGTACTAAGTAACTCAGGAAGTCTGTGGATCCTACTTGTATCATTTCTTTTTTTTTTTTTTTAATATTTATTTTTATTTATTTGAAAGAGTTACAGAGAGAAGTAGAGACAGAGAGAGAGAGAGAGAGAGAGGTCTTCTATCTGCTGGTTCATTCCTCAAATAGCCTCAATGGCCAGAGATGAGCCGATCTGGAGCCAGGAGCTTCTTCAGGGTCTCCCACATGGGTGCAGGGGCCCAAACACTTGGGCCATCTTCTACTGCTTTTCCAGGTACATTAGCAGAGAGCTAGATTGGAAATGGAGCAGCCAGGACTTGAACCGGTGCCAATATGGGATGCTGGTACTGCAGGCTGGGTCTTTAACCCGCTGTGCCACAGCACCAGCCTCTCTGTCATTTCTTATTACTTTTAGGAAATAAACTTGGCAGTGCAGTCTACCTTTGATTGTTTTTCTCTCAGTACTCCTGATTTCACTTTATCATGTGTCTGATCAAAAGTCAAATTATTCTTCTTTGTTTCACTGTGTTCAAGTAGGGGAAGGTAGCCATAACTGTCATCTGCAAGACAAAAAAACCTCTTGGACATCAATAGGAAACTCATATTTTTGGTAACACCTGGAAAAGTAAAAATTATACAAACTCAAAACCACAATTTTAAAAGAATAGACTTCAAGCTGTGAATTAAAAAAAAAAAAACTGTTTTAGATATAGTTACTTTGACAACTTGTCTGTTTAGGTTTTTTCCTTTCCACTAAACACATAAACTCCTAATCTTGCCAAAGTAAGAGGCAAGTAAAATACCTAGGATTTACAAAACAAGAAATACACAAGACATTTCAAAAAGTTCATAGAAAATGTGTACTATAACAAATAATGCATGGATTTCAAAACTTTTTGCAGCATAATTAACTTATCTTTTCATTCTATTTCTTGACAATCTTTATGAAGTACTCACATAGACTTGTTATCATCAGCAACAATTAAAGTTTTATATAAGTTTCATTTTCAGTTATGCATTTTTAAGATATTTATTTATATAACTACTCCCTGCTCACTGTAAGAAAATTTGAAATGTAGATATGCCAAAAAATAAAAATAAAAAATAAAACTACCCATGATTTTTCTACCTATAAATTATTCCTGGACTTTTTCCTTTCCTAAGCATATAAATTCACACAAGAATATTTTCTGCACAGATGAAGTAACATTGTTTATTTTTGTATCTTGCTTTGTTTGCTACATATCATGAACATATTTCTTGTTAGTAAGTAAACATCTATTACCATCACTTTTCTTGGCTACATAGTTGTTCATATGGATCACTATTACTCAGCTGTTATTTGTTTCTAGCCTTTAATTATTGTAAATTATACTGACGCACATCCTTGCATATATATTTTGGAGTACTTTTCGATATATTCATAGGACCTGATTTTTTTTATTCAAAAGGCACAAACGTTTTTAAAAGCCTTTGCTGTTCATTGGCAAGTTGCCTTCTAGGAAGTTTTATCAAGTTACTTGTATGTGAGAGTCATTTTCCCATATTCTGCAAGTGTGAATTTGAATAAACATATAACTGCACTACAGTTATTATAATATCAGAACTACTGAAAAATGATTAAAGAATAAAACAGAAAAGCTCAACTTCCACCTTTCTTTTTTTCCAATGGATTTAAGAAATATATAAAAAATTAACATGAACATACCTCGATTGGAATTCACGAGAAGTAACTGTGATTTTAGCTTGTCAATAATAGCTTGCTGAACTGACAGCTGTTCTTGTTGCTCACGTATTCTCTGCTCATAGTTCTCAGTCTGCTGATATAAAAACCAGTTAGCCTGATTTTTACTGACATACATGAACATACATTTACTGTTCATTACTAATCATAGACAGGAGCTGCCTATATTGTCATTTCCCAGGTATTATTTATTCACAAGCTATAAACTGACTCTAAAAATCTATTTGTAATCATTACAGATATCAGGGGTCAAAAGTACTTAAAGCACTGTAAAATTTTAAGAAAATTACATTATTTAAAGAAATTTCTGAGTTTTGACATTGATTTCTTGGTCCTTCAATTAGAACGAAAACTGTAGTTTGGAATTTAATCCTCAATAAAATAATATCCTTAATTAATAAAATAGGTATTATATTAGAATTATCCTATAAAAACACATACTAACTTTAAAAACTAAGTTTTCATGTCTTTCAGATAAATATATTTCTGAATTTCCCTTTAGATATAAAACCACACAGCAAGTAGCTATAAATAAAGACACTATGAAAATGCAAGAGACAAGCTATAAAATTATATTGACCAGAAACTTTGAAGTTTTCAGAAGAGAACACAATAGTTAATCTTTAGATGGGGCCGGCACCGTGGTGCAGTAGGTTAATCCTCTGCCTGCAGCGCCAGCATCCCATGTGGGCACCGGTTCTAGTCCCGGATGCTCCTCATCCAATCCAGCTCTCTGCTGTGGCCTGGGAAAGCAGCAGAAAATGGCCCAAGTGCTTGGGACCCTATACCTGTATGGAAGACCAGGAAGAAGCACCCAGCTCCTGGCTTTGGATTGGCGCAGCTCCGGCTGATGCAGCCATTCGGGGAGTGAACCAGTGGATGAAGACCTTTCTCTCTGTCTCTCCCTCTCACTGTCTGTAACTCTACCTCTCAAATAAATAAATAAAATCTTTAAAAAAAATCTTTAGAGTACATATTAAATATCTTAATTTTACTTTTATTTTTGACCACTCATTTTGCTATTTTATTGCACTGGCTGTGAGAATTGAGAAGTAGAAGACACATGAATTTGTATTAATGCATATACATGTTGCAAATCTTCAAGAAAATATGAAAAATTTGTATCACAATTAGCAAATTGGTAAAGTCTTAAAAATATATCACCAAAAAGAGAACTGTCTACTAATTTCTATACCTGGAGGAGCAAACAAATAAATGACTAAAGCGTAAATTTCTTGAAGTGTGAAAGAAGTTCTAATGACCTCAGATTGTGCTTCAGTAGAAACTAGGTTATCTGATTTAAATGACTTTTAATAAAAGTTCAAAAGTAAGAAGCTATATTATTTTCAGAGACTAATAAACTTAAAGATTTTTTTAAATATTTAAATCTTGTGCTTCTTCCTGGTCTCCCATGTGGGTGCAGGGCCCAACCTCTTGGGCCATCCTCCACTGCCTTTCAAGGCCACAGCAGAGAGCTGGACTGGAAGAGGAGCAACTGGGACAGAATCAGCGCCCCAACCGAGACTAGAACCCAGAGTGCCAGCGTCACAGGCAGAGGATTAGCCTAGTGAGCCATGGCGCCGGCCAACTCTTTAAATCTTTTAAAAATTCTTTAAAATTTCAGCTATTCCTAAGAAATTACAGCAAACTAACTACAATGGCCGCCGCGGCCAGCACATCGCACTGATCCGAAGCCAGGAGACAGGTGCTTCTCCTGGTCTCCCATGGGGTGCAGGACCCAAGTACTTGGGCCATCCTCCACTGCACTCCCGGGCCACAGCAGAGAGCTGGCCTGGAAGAGGGGCAACCGGGACAGAATCCGGCGCCCCGACCGGGACTAGAACCCGGTGTGCCGGCACCGCAAGGCGGAGGATTAGCCTAGTGAGCCACGGCGCCGGCCTAAAAGGTGAGCTTTTATGAGTCGTATACTTCAAAATGCAAATGACAAAAGCTGGTAAATAACTCAGGTGGCGTGTGGTTTTTACATGTTGCCTAAGGTCAGTCTTACATAACTTGATATCCCCCATATAATCCTGCAAAGCAGCTTATCTACAGATGTTCAGTAAATGCTTACTGGAAAAAAAAGGAAGTAAAGAATCCAAGTAAAATCTATTAATTGTGAATAATGAATCTTTTGAATCTGTCTGGACCATTTGTCTAATGATTATGAGTCTCAGAACTGATTATTGGATAACTCAAGTCTGGACTAAAGACATTGTATTCCTACATAAATTCACATGCAAGCCCCTAGAAAGAACAGGTAAATTGACTGAAGGAAGGATCTAAATCGACTGAAGGAAGGATCCAAAGACCTATAGCAAAATTTATTTTTCCAAAGATTTATTTATTTGCTTGAGAGGCATAGTTACAGACAGAGAGAGGTCTTCTATCTGATGGTTCATCCCCAAATGGTGCAACCACCTAGGCTGGGCTGATCTGAAGCAAAGAGCTTCTCCCAGGTCTCCCATGTGGGTGCAGGGGCCCATGTACTTGCATCATCTTCTACTGCTTTTCCAGACCATCAGCAGGGAGCTTGATTGGAAGTGGAGCAGCTAGGACTTGAACCAGCACCCACATGGGATGCCTGCACTGCAGACAGATGCTTAACCTACTATTATGCCACAGAGGCAGCCTCAAAAGTAAATTCTTAATAGCTTAGATTTACTTGGGTTACACAGAGCCACCAGGGTTGAAAAATCAGTAAGCATGTTAGCCTTGTCAATCTAGTTCTGTACTTTATTTAGAAATTTCTTGAAAGAATTTAAGAGTTCTTCACAAACATCAACCACTAATTGCCTATTCTTTTCAATATATAGGCAGTCACATATATTCCACTCTCTAGAGATTATATAACTAGCATAAAAACTTCACAAGTTAGAGACAAGCCTAGAATAAATGCATAAGTATTTAAGCTGCAGTTCATTGTTCATTTACTCTGGGTTTTTTCCCCTTCCATTTTAATGAAAAAACAAAATGGTCACTCATTTTCTCTTGGAACAAATTCAGAAAGCTTCTGCCAGTTAATTTTCATCTTCTCTCTGGCTTAAAAACTTACGTTAGCACATTTACACATAATCTATTATGCTAAATGAATAATGTAAAAAATTATATAATAGCTGGGAATAAATCAATCGGTATTTTTTTTTTAAAGATTTATTTATTTATTTGAAAGGCAGAGTTAGAGAGACAGAGAGAGAGAGATCTGCTGGCTCACTCCCAAATGGCTGCAAATGTATGGCTGGGTCAGTCTGAAGCCAGTAGCGAGGAGCTATTTCCAGGTCTCCCATGTCGGGACAGGGCCCAAGTATTTGGGTCTTCAGCTGCTTTCCCAGGAGTATTAGCAGGGAGCTGGATTGGAAGTGAACAGCCAGGACTCAAATTGGCACCCCTACGGAATACGAGGGTGGCTTTACCCACTATGCCATAATGCCAGCCCCAAACATTTGTACTATTTCTTAAAGCACTTAACATTACAAAGCTCAGGCAAATTCTGTAATAATGGAAAAAACAAACAAACAAACAAACAAACAAAAAAACCCTGATACTCTAGATGCCTAGCAATGGAAAAAAATAACCATGGTCCATGTTTTCCTACTGCACTTTTATTTATTTATTTGACAGAGTTAGACAGTGAGAGAGAGAGACAGAGAGAAAGGTCTTCCTTCCATTGGTTCACCCCCCAAATGGCCGCCACGGCTGGCGCTGCGCTGATCTGAAGCCAGAAGCCAGGTGCTTCCGCCTGGTCTCCCACGCAGGTGCAGGCGCCCAAGCACTTGGGCCATCCTCCACTGCCTTCCCGGGCCACAGCAGAGAGCTGGACTGGAAGAGGAGCAGCCAGGACTAGAACCCGGTGCCTATATGGGATGCCAGCGCCGCAGGCGGAGGATTAGCCAAGTGAGCCACGGCGCCAGCCCCCCTACTGCACTTTTCACATAGCTTACATTATAGCAGTTGCAGTATTCTAGTCTAATTGTACTCAATTTCCCTCCAGACTATGAACTCCTCAAGGGCAGAGACTATTTCCTCCAGAAAGCTCCAGAGTATCAGAGTGCCTGGCACATTTTGAGATGCTCATTAATTATTAGTTGGGTAAATAAGCTAATTAAGTTGTTAAAAAAAAAAAACAGAAATAGATATGCCTTCAGAAGTGAGCTGAGGGAAAGAGAAATGGTTTTGCTTATATTTTGATAGGAAAAAAAAAAAGGAAACAAAGTAAGTATGTGAGACAAAGCAAAATTAAGTTAGAGAAAATGGATACAAAAGAAACACATTTGAAGATTTTTCTGAAAACAAAAAGGAATTAACTTATAATGTTAGAAAAAAAAAAGTAGCAGTTTGAAAAGAGGAAAAACATATTCAGAAAATAGTGCAAAGATTTTGACCACAGGCTATGAAAAGGAAAGTCCAGAAGATATTATATCAGATTGAGAAATAACCAATTGAAATCAGTCTATTTGCTATGTTTGGGAACTCATTGAAAAATTTTTTTCTTTCTTTTTATAAATGCGTTTTGCTCACTGAACAGATCTGAATAATCATATAACCTAAAAAGGCCTTTTAAAAGATAATTGTTGCAGGCACAGCATTTTGTGTTGTAAAAAAAAATACAATCATAAAGCAAGTGCATTCCAGCACTATCAAAGACCCCACAAAACAGAAAAATCACTAACAACCACATTGAAAATGTACAACAGCAATGTCTTGTCAACACTTCTGTACAGAGCACAGACATGACAGCTAAAACAGACAGAAGAGAAGATGCTTTTGACAGCCAGTGTGTGTGAATGATTCTTTGAGTCAGATGGCAGCAACAAGTTACCAACTAGGAGATCTGCATGACAACTAACCATCCATCTGCATCAAACACCATCTGGCTAAGATGACTCTGGCTTCTGTGTATTTGACACTCCTTCCAATTCCAAAGACTAGCAAAACAAGTGGTCTACCAGCATGTAAAGAGGTAAACAGGTAGTAAGGTACTTGTGCCATAAGGCACTTTATATTCTTACTGTTCAAAAGCAAACCTTAAACAATGGTGATCAAATACAGTACACACTTTCATTTATTAGAAGTGAC